CCCGAAATGTCAGCCTCTCTGCTCCTATGATGCTGCTTGGCCTGCTGTGTTCATCCAGCCCTGCACCTTGTTGTCTTGGATTCTCCAGCATCTGCAGTTCCTACTAGCTTTGAATGGGGTCCGTGCAATGGGACGCAGCTTGTGGGAGCTGATGGGGCGGGGGCTTGCCTGGTGATTGACAATGAAGGAGGAGCCGGGGCGACGGCTGGTGATGGGGGCGTGGCCTAGTACTGTGATTGACAGTGCAAATGTGGGCCTATAGGGTAATTGACAGTGTAAGAGTAGGCCCAGGGGTGTTGACAGGGAGCGAGGGGGCCTATGGATTCATTAACACTAAAGAAACGGGCCTGTAGGGTGATTGATGGTGAAGGATCCAGCCTATAGTTAACTGACGGTGAAAGTGTAGGTCTACAAAGGGGATAGACAGTGAAAATAGGTTAATGGGTGATTGACAGTGGAGCAGCGGACCTATAGGGTGATTGATGGTGAAGCAGCGGGCCTGTAGGCTTATTGATGGTGGAAGAGTGTGACTATGAAGTCGTGAAGTGCTTTGAGAGGCTGGTCACGGCCCACATCAACTCCAGTCTCCCAACCTGCCTTGATTCCCTGCAGTTTGGCTACTGACAAAACAGGCCCACAGAGGATGCCATATCCCTAGCCCTGCACTCATCCCTGGAACATCTAGACAACAAAGACATCTACGGCAAACTCTTTCTTGTGGACTACAGCTCCGCCTTCAACATCATTATCCCCTCCAGACTGATTTCAAAACTTAGTGACCTTGATCTCGGCTCTGCCCTCTAATTGGATCCTCAGTTTTCTGAACCATAGGCTGCAATCAGTGAGGATAGGTAACTGAACCTCCTCCACAATAACACTCGACACTGGAGCCCCTGAAAGAATGCGTCCTCAGTCACCCACTGTACAGCCTGTACACCTATGACTGTGTTGCCAAATTCCGAAAGAATGCCATCTACAAGTTTGCTGACAACATCACCGTACTGGGATGCATATCTAACAACGATTATTCAAAATACAGAAGGGAGATAAAAGGCTTGGTGATGTGCTGCAATGAAAACAATCTGTCTCTCAATGTCGGCAAAACTAAAGAACCAATCATTAACATCAGAAAGAAAGGAGGAGAACATGCCTCCATCTACATCAATGGAACTGAGGTCCAGAGAGTAAAGAGCATTAAATTCCTCAGAGTGATGATAACGGACAACCTGTCCTGGACTTTCCATGTAAATGTGACAGTCAGAGACACAACAACGAGACTTCTTCCTCAGGTGGCTCAGGAAATTTGGCATGTCCATAAGGTCCCTCACCATCTTCTACAGATGCACCATTGAAAGCATAATGTCTAGGTACATAACAGCCTGTTATGACAACTGCTCTGCCCAGGACTAAAACTACAGAAAGTGGTGTGCACAGCCCAGACCGTCACAGAAGCCAACATTCTATCTATGGACTGCGGAAAGGCAGCCAATATCAAAGACCCATCACACCCTGGTAATGACCTCCTACAACCTCTTCCATCAGGCAGAAGATACAGAAGCCTGAACATAGGCACGAGCAGGTTCAGGAACAGCTTCTTTCCAGCTGTTATCAGACTGTTGAATGTACTCTAGCCTCAAATAATGTAACCCATTTGCCTCTAAGTCTTTTTGATTTGTTCATCCTTTGCATGCTGTGATCTGCCCGTACTGCTTATAAACAAAGCTTTTCCCTGTATTTCACTACACGTGACAATAAAATCAAAATTTTAAAAAATCAAATTGATTGACACTGAAAGAGTAGACCTATAGGTCTGCTCCTTCACTGTCAATCATCCTATCAGTCATGGAGTCATAAAGCACAGAAACAGACCTTTTGGTCCAACTCATCCATGGTGACCAGATATCCTAAATTAATCTAGTCCTATTTGCCAGCATTTGACCCATATCCCTCTAAACCTTTCCTATTCATATACCTATCCAAATAACTTTTAAATGTTGTAAGTGTACCAGCCTCCTCCACTTCCTCTGGCAGCTCATTCTATACACGCACCACCCTCTGTGTGAAAAAAATTGCCTCTTAGATCTCTTTTAATTCTTTCCTCTCTCACCTTAAACCTATGCCCTCTAGTTTTGGACTCCGCTACCCTCCAGGCCAATCATGTTCCCAAACTAAATTAGTCCCACTTGCCTGCATTTGGCCAATATGCCTCCAAACCTTTCCTATTCATGTACTTACTCAAACGTCTTTTAAATATTGTAACTGCACCTACATCCACAACTTCCTCTGGCAGTTTACTGCACACACAAATCGCACTGTGTTTTTAAAAAAAAGTTGCCCTAAAGTCCTTTTTTAAAACTGTCTCCTCTCACCTTAAAAATATGCTCCCTAGTTTTGAACTCCCCGACTCTAGTGAAAAGACCCTTGCTATTCACCTTATCTATGCCCCTCGTGATTTTATAAACCTCTATAAGGTCACTTCAACCTCCTACACTCCAGTGAAAAAAGTCCCAGCCTATTTTTATAACTTAAACCCTTCATTCTCAGCAACATCCTCATAAATCTTTTCTGAACCCACTCCAATTTAATAATATCCTTCCTCTCGCAGGGCAACCAGAACTGTACACAGTACTCCAGAAGAGGCCTCACCAATGGCCTCGTCAACCTTGACATGACGTCTCAACTCCTATACTGAAAGGCCTGCGCAATAAATGCAGGCATGCTAAACGCCTTCTTAACCACCCATTTATCTGTAATTCACATTTTGAAGAATTATGTATCTGAACCCCTCGGTCTCTCTGTTCTACAAAACTACCAAAATGGAATACTTTACATTTATCCAAATTAACGTCCATCTGCCACTCCTCAGCTCATTGACCCAATTGATCACTAAGTGTTTGTAATTTTAGATAACCTTCATCACTATCAACTATGACACTAATTTGGTGATTGACACTAAAGAAGCGAGCCTATAGGGTGATTGACACTGAACGAGGCGGTCTATAGGGTGATCGACAGTGGAGAAGCGGGCCTATAGAGTGATTGACAGTGAAGGAGCGAGCCGGTAGGGTGATTGACAGTGAAGGAGCGAGCCGGTAGGGTGATTGACAGTGAAGAAGCTGACCTATAGGGTGATTGACGATGAGGGCATGGGTCTATAGGTAGATTGACAGTGAAGGTGCGGGTCAATAGGGTAATTGACATTGAGGTCGGAAGATGGCCCCGTCTTGGGGGGGGGGTGGGGCAAGGCTATGAGGGTGCGTGTCTATGGAAGCCAGTCAGGTTATGGGTGTCAGGGCCAACAACCGGGCTCCCCGGAGGGAGCGAGTGGGCGGTGAGGATCCGGCGGAGGGTGGGTCCTGGCTTTGATTGGTGGTTGGGGCAAGACCGGAGATTTGGATTGGTCAGTAGTCGGGTAAAGTGGGCAGGGTGGCATTCTGGCCGGGGCGGTTGTATTGATTGGCAGCACGGTGTACGACAGGGCCCGCCTCTAGCCAGCGCGGTGGGTTTCCGTAAAGGCGGGGCCGTCAGCTGGGAACCTTTTAGTGGGCGGGACTTGCGTTTGATTGGCAGATGCCGCCGGGTGGAAGTTAAAGGGGCGGGGCCGTCGTGATTGAGATATGCAGGGAGGTGTGCGCTGATGTTCGCGCGGCAGGGGGCGTGGCCAGTGGGGCGGGAGCTGAGTGGCCGACGTGAGGGGGCGGGGCTAGAAATTGATTGATAGATGGGGCGGGACGTGTTTAACGGCAGGGGGAGGGGCAGGCTGTGTGTGCATGTAGGGGGCGGGGTGTGAGGTGCAGGGGGCGGGGTCGACTGGAGGGGCGGTGCGTTAGTGGGGGGGGGGGGGGGATTTAGGTTGATTGGCATCTGGGGTGGGGCTGTCTGACGTCGCCGAGAGGAAACGGAGAGCCTGCTCATTATATTCAAATACTGTTCCAGGAGGGATTCGATAATACGTAGCCGAGCAGCTAAGCTCCAGAGTGCCTGAGCTTTTCAAGAACTTGTCCAAGATCGGCTGTCAAGAATCATGGACTGTTTTCATCTGCCTTGTTTTCTGTCAGTGAGTAGACCTTTTTTATACTTTTCTAATAAATAAGGAGGGATTCACATTCCCGGTTTCATACTGTAGCGATATGTATGTGTGTTTTATCCATTTATTTGATTCCTCTCAAACGTGTACTTGCGGTCCTTCCCTACATTATAGCTCAGTGTTGGGTGAGAATTTGTTTCGGTTGAGGGGGTGCACTTGTACCTTGCTTGTCAAGAAGCAATGAAGGAAATCGACAGATCCGTAACAATCAAAAGCAGTCAATGTAGAAAAGTGAACACATTTTAAATTTTCAAAAAACTCTTCGCACGACTTGTGTGTCTTTTTCTCTCCATTTCTCAAAAAATTCTTGAGGCTTTGGTGAGATGCCCATTGCAAGATTTTGAACGTGTTGCTTCCAAAGAAACCAGTCTAAGATAATTACTAAGATAGTGAAAACACAAAGACTAACAGGATGGTGCTATCTGCCTGATTATGGGCTATTTAACTGTAACCGAGTTGAGACCAAGTAATTATACCTCTTCTCTCACTCTCTTTCTCTGTGTCGTGCGCTCTCTCTCTGGGGCGTTGATTGAAGATTACTCGTAATTCTCATTCGGTTTTTTTTGTTGTTGCTTGTTTTGCTCCACAGAGACACCATGATTCCTGGTAACCGAATGCTGATGGTAATTTTATTATGCCAGGTCTTACTGGGAGGTAATGCTAGTCTGATACCAGAGGAAGGGAGGAAAAAGTTTACCGAGCAAAACCAGGCGGGTGGACGTCGCTCTCCGCAAAACCATGAACTGCTACGGGAATTTGAGGCCACTTTACTCAACATGTTCGGACTGCAACGGCGCCCACAGCCTAGCAAATCCGCTGTTGTCCCCCAGTACATGCTGGATCTGTATAGACTGCAGTCCGGGGACGAAGTCATTCACGACATTAGTTTCGAGTATCCTGAGAGATCCACGAGCCGGGCCAACACCGTAAGGAGCTTTCACCATGAAGGTACTGGACTTGTAATCACTGTCCCAGAATCATTGAGCTGATTGTACTGATTAGAGGCAGTAATGATAGCTGGATCAATACTAACAGAACGTGGCGAGGGATTAATGTAAAATGTATGCATAAGCAATTTATCGCCGTGCATTGAGTTTGTGTTCAGCGTTAGAGCTACGGGAGCCGCTGTTTGTTCCTGTGTTTTTTTTTATAGGACACCATGTATGTAATTTTAAAACGTGATTATGTATATTATAATGTTTAAATTAAAATCTTATTTGACATCAATTGATGGCTACAGTATCTATATGGAGTTCGAGATGGCACCGGTTAGAATTCATGGCTCGGTGTGATTATTGGGGGGGGGGGGGGGGGAAAGGGGATTTCTGGCAGGTGACAGAAATATTTTCCGAAGACAGCCGCCATTCGCAATTAGTGTTTAGCAGGGAACAGTAGGTAGCATTAATTTCCCTCTCCCCTGCAGTTTTTTTTTAAAGGCGAGCGCATGTTTTGTAAAATCGGTCTGGTCTCAGGCTGTTTATTTTGATTTAAATTACGGGTATCTTATGTTGGTCCCGAGCCATTTCAAATTTTCCGTGGGCGAATCGAGATTTTTAAGGGTTGTCTTTCATTTCTGTTGCGTAACAGAACACTTGGAGCTGATGCCAGGGCAGAGGGAAGATTCGCAGCTTCGGTTTGTGTTTAATATCAGCGTGGTGCCCGAGAACGAGGTGCTGTCTTCCGCAGAGCTGCGGCTGTACCGGGAACAGATCGATAGCGTTTGGAGCCGGGCCGACGGTTTCCATCGCATCAACGTGTACGAGATCATGAGAGCCCCGAGCGAGACGGGGGAGCTGATCACCAGACTCTTAGACACCAGGTTGGTTCACCAGAACAGGACACGGTGGGAGAGCTTCGATGTGAGCCCGGCGGTTCTCAGATGGACCATGCAGAAACAGCCCAACCACGGGCTAGCCGTAGAAGTCACCCACTTGAACGGGACTAAAAGCCAGCATGTCCGGATCCGCCGATCACTGCACCAGAGGCACGGCGACTGGTCCCAGCTCCGACCTTTGCTTGTAACGTTCAGCCACGATGGGAAAGGACACGCTCTAACCCGGAGGGTGAAACGGAGCAGCAAAGGCCAGAGGCGCAAGAAAAACAAATCGCACTGCAGGAGGCACTCTCTCTATGTGGATTTCAGCGATGTGGGCTGGAACGACTGGATAGTGGCACCGCCTGGTTACCAAGCTTTTTACTGTCACGGGGACTGCCCGTTCCCACTGGCGGACCATCTAAACTCGACCAACCACGCCATCGTGCAGACCCTTGTCAATTCTGTCAATGCCAACATCCCCAAGGCTTGCTGCGTCCCGACGGAACTCAGTCCCATCTCAATGCTCTACTTGGACGAGTATGATAAAGTTGTTCTGAAAAACTATCAGGAAATGGTTGTAGAGGGATGTGGGTGCCGCTGAGAAATAACAAGAATTGTTTTTTTAAAATAATGTCTGGACACTATTCATAACAGCGTTCACCATTACATTATTTATGACTTATGTGCAAATGTTGACCATATGATCATATATTTTGACAAAATATATTTATAACTACATATAAAAGGAAAATAAAAATGAGTCATATTTTAAACGTAAAATAAATTTCTGTACAACGTCTTTGTTAACTGTATATTAGAATGTATATGTTTAAATTGGAATATAGAAAATTGTTCATAAATGTTCATGAAGTGTACTATTTATTATTTTTCACTTTTTTTCAGTTAAAATCACAGTGTGGAAGTGTTTGCAGAATTTACCGATCTAAGACTGAGTTAAAGGAAACGCTCTGGGCATTGTCGTCCCTTTATTGGGAAGCTGAATTGTGTTTTTTTGAAAGGTTGAACGGAGGCTAGCATACATGAAAAATGTCAACAAACCCGGTTCTTATGCTAATAGCTGTGTATGGGTCTCTTTGGTTCGCTGAGTAACTATTGGACAGTGAATAGCTGGGAAGGAGAGGGTGGTCTTGCAAAAGATGCAGTAAACGGCTGGATCTCCTTTAGTGTTTGTCTTTCATGTCCCTGGCAGGAACACCTAGACGCAGATCAAATAGCTCCTTACGCCAAACCAGAAGTCAGATTCCAATTAACAGTGTACCCTAAACTAACGTTTGTCAAATTTCTCTCGTGATTAAACTTTAATTTGCTGAAATCCCTTTTTAGTGAGAATATAGTTGTCACCAGGGGTTACTGTATTACGGTTTTCTCGTTTCATCTGTGCCCTCCTCTTTCCCCAGCCCATCCCCCTCCAAAAGGAAAAAGGTTTTGCCTTCCAGCAAATCATTGTCAAACGAATGGAAGGAAGGTAGCGGGAGGGTTAGCAGATGTTAATCAAGGCTGCATGCAGCCTTAATTTTTTGGAGATGTTGAAATGCAGACTGCTTAGGCCCAAACTCCAGGAGAAAGCTGCAAGAGTTGCCTCAGCCTGTGCTCCCTGGAGTGTGCAGGTGGAGAAAGCAGATCAGGCCCGCAGGCAAAATTCATCCATGCTCTGCAATTTACTCACGGCCCTGTTAGTTTTCAACTGTGGCCAACTTGGATAAATCTTTAAAAGGGATCTGATGATTGCATTCCCTCAGGAAACATTTGTTTTCGTTCCACATCATATCTCCTAAACTGTATACCATGATGGGGGTGGGGGTAAGCGACTTTCATGTCTGAAATATTTGGGAATTTATTCCAGCCCTCAAGTAGTCTGGTCTGCCTTGGGTCGCTCCACACAAGTGACTTTGTTCCTTTTTTAATGACTAGAAACAGTATAGAATTGTATGTCAAATTTATTTCTTTACACTTTTGTCACGTGGCTTCAGAATTATACGTCGACTTAAAAAAAACCTAATGTAACATTCGCATTTGCAATTATTATACATGTTACTGTCGTGTTTAAGAGGAATTCAAATGTTAGCCTTTGTTAGACAGAAATGAGGTAGGAAAGGATTTAAATGGCGAGTTGGTTTGGTCAAGTATACGCTTGCAGTCTGGGACTGATGTTACACCAAAATACCACGTGGAGGCAAGACGCCTTTTCCTATTTCGAAATCATCCTGATTTTTACCTTCAAAGTTTGCCTGTGGTCAGCCCTTGTGTTCTATCTGTGAATTATAAATATTTAGTAAACAGATGGATCATTTCTATTTGGAGATGAACACCTCTAGAATATACGTTCGTAAGGACAATAACCTTTCTCATGGCCAGACAGTAAATTTTACATTTGGATTCAAAACCTTGATTGAAATCATTTCGCAGAACTGCTACTGTTGCAGATGTCCATTTTGTTTTGTAATGTTTCTGCCCAGCATTTTTTTTTTAAAATGGAGCGAAATTATTTTGACTAGATTTGGAAAATGAATGGTTGAGGTAATTACTTATTTTTTTGAAAATTCAGTTCTATTTTATAGGAAGGCTTTGATTCTCATGTAATGGTGTCCTTCAAATTTGGCCCAGTTTCCTTGGTGCCCCGGCTCCATATTGATTCAATTATATCCATCATTTTGTCCAAAACAATCAGAAAACATCCAGAAGGTGCCGCTTCATTGAATGAGAGCAGCAAGAACACCCAGTCTGCCACAGCTGTAGCAGCTGCAGGGCTAGCAACGCCTCCCTAGATCTCAGCCTCCTGTGATACTTCCAACACAAGAAAACCTCTCACTCAAACTCATCGTCTCCCGCTGTCCGTACCGGCAAGGTCCCTCATTCTTTGTTCGGAACCCGGCCCCCACATTACAGTGCTTGTGCTTCCAAAATGACAGCAAAGGATATCAATTCTCCCTTCTGCCCAACAATCGTTGTACCTGTACTATCTCTCAGAAAAGGCGATTGGCCCAAGGCGGGGATCTGCTGCCTTCTCTTTGACGCCTGCATATCAGGCATAACCAAGCCGAAGAAAGAATTTCATTTTGAAGTAGGCATAAGCCGAAGGGGAGTGCTCTTCAGCTGTTTTGACAGCGCAATTACACACATTTCAACTGATAGGCTTCATGCAGATAACATCGCCCTGCCATTACAAAATCTGGAATGGTAATTGTCTGCTTGCTCATTACTCCCAACACTCAATTCTCTGAGCTACATGGAAAACAAGTACACATTTATTAAAACGCTTCAGGAAATGAAGCGACAGCCTTCCTGCATATGTGCATACCTCTCTCTAGACTTCTTAGCGCCATAAGCAAACGTTTGAAGCTATTTAACTGATTGTAACATTACACTTTTGTATTTCAACTTTAGTCTTTGGTTAAAATATATCTGCACCAGTCTCGTTTTCTTAAAGTCTTGCTTGCAGAACTACGTACACCCAAATCAAATCATTATTTTGTTAAATCACTTCACTTTCAAAATCGCTCCTTTGTTCCAATCTGTTCCATTCAACAGGCTCCAACATGTAGAAAGCTGGTTCATTTCAAACCTAGTATAAACTGTCACAGTAGGCTTTTGCGGGAAAATATTTGTTTTACTAAACGGTAGATGCTCAGTTTTGTATTGCAAGGGCACATTGAATACTTTTGGTGTATGACAGTTATCACGTATAAGTAAATTTGCATAATTAATAAATTATAAACAACAAATCACTTTCGCATAATACAATAAGGAAGTCTTTCTAAAATTGGAACTTCATTCAAACACAAACAAGAGCAGCCTTGTAAAACTGCTACATTTCCAATAAAGAATTCATGAGCTGCATTTTGGATTCCCTTCTGGGCTGCCATGAAACTCAAAGGAAAATTCAGTCAAATGTTTTAATTTGCCGTATTCTTTATTAAGTTTGAATACCACAAAATAACAAGCTCCTGCTTAATACAAAAAGGTATGATTTGGTTTTGAGTTTAGTTTAAGGAATAATGATAGTGAAGGAGAAAAGGTATGAAAATTTTGTACACAAATTAGAGATATGTTTTCTCAAACTTCATTTGAGATTTTGCAGATTTTAAACCTGAGAACTCTGCATTCAAATATCACCAATTTTACTTAATTTTTCCTTTAGATGGAAAGTATCATATTCCCACCATAAATTTGTCTTCAAGCTTTTCCATTTAACATCAAGTTTTAGATTTTATTTCAAAGGTTAGCAATGTACTTTTATTAGTGGTTAGACAGCAACTTTCAAGTCAGCAGTTTCCGTGGATCCTAAAATATAAAGTTAGGCCTGGTACATACAATGGTGTGATATCAAACTAACAGTAAAACTGGCTTTGGATTATTGGGGCATATTTCAAAACTACCTACAATAAATTTAAATAATCAGGTGATCCTGACACCTCAATCTTGCTGCTCTAACTGTTTGAAATTTTAACTATTTTATGCAGTGTGCCAGATTTCTCCTGTGCCGAATTATTTGGTTTTAGCAATGTGATATCATACTGCTCGTACAAGTTATAGATTGACAGTTACAGTGAAATGGTAGTACAAGAATGCATGTGTAGTCACAATTATTCATGAACATATTATTCTCATTATCCGGAAGCAGCTGTCTGCACAGAGGTACATTGAGATTGGTTTTCATTAGCCTTCAGTGTAAAGATCCCCTCGTTATGTTTTTACAAAATTCTCTACCTGAATTAATTTGTTAGCACTTTGCTTTTGTGATAACTTACAAAATGTTAAGAGAAGATAATTTCAAGTGATATCTCATGGAGCATCGCCAATGATACATACTTTATAGATGAAAAATGATTAATACATTACCTATAAAATGTTTACTTTTGTAGTTGCTATTTAAAAATTTCTAATTTGGTCAATCCAAATCCACGTGATTGATTATAAATGCCTGCAATTATTTGTTTTGGTAAAAAAAATGGATTCGGAAAGTATGTGTGTGGATTGATGACATGCATATTTATGAGTCAGTAAATAAATGAGCCATTTTAAAAAAAGTAAGCACCATTTGTCTTTTGACACTTCTTTCCTTTTAAAAATTTATGTAGAATAATAGTGGATGGCTGGCAGTAAACTTAAAACATGTACATAGTTCTTCATAGATTCTTGCTATCAGCCAGCAAACCAAACCCAACATTTGTAATACATCCTTGGATAATCTTGAAGTGAAGGTAAATACTTTTCTCCCATTTATGAAAATGGGTGTTCTTTTGTAATGGCAATGAAAATAATTAATATTGGAGAATGAAAAACCGGTAATACACAAAAGGACTGTTCATAATAACTATTTGATATCTTAAAAGGAAAAATCACTGGGAAAAAAAAGTTCTGTCTGTTACCTCCAGACGTGACTATTCTGATGCACTCCTGGCTGACTGCCCAGATCCTATCCTCCATAAATCTGAGGTCATCTGGAACTTTGGCCACCATTCTTTAACTTGTACCAGATCCCATTCTGCAATTATGATGTGCCCACAGTAGCTTCCAGTTAGGTAACACCTCAATTTTAATTGAATTGGATTGTTAGATCACTACCTTGCAATCACTCAGTGAAATGTTCGAGAACCATTCAGTTCGTTGTTGGCAAGAATTGTTTATGTGGACTGACTGCCCCTGCATTCCTTTACTGGTACATAATGATGTTCACAGTAAAGTGTTACAATTCTTAAGGGTATTCCTGCAGTATTTTGCAAAACAGATAACTTACATTCAGTTCCTTTGAAATTATCCAGCTGTAAATATATTCGAATATTCATTTGTAGACAATTGCCTCCTACATGAAAGTCGAGTTTAAAAATAGCAGCATTTCTTTTTAAGACGGCAATCTCATGTCAAGGGAATTGTTATTTACCAAACAACTAAAAGTGGTTGAGAAAATATTATCAAAACACATCAGGAATGGGAATGATTGATTGACACAGTATGTAGTGTGGTGCCATGCAGCCCAGAGTGTCCCATTTAGACCGCAAATTTCTGCTGAGTATTGTTAGTTTCAACTAATGCACTGGTGCACTACTACTGTCAGTTTCAGTTTTGTTTTCCTAATTCTCTTGTGGGACATGGCTGGCCAGCGTTTATTGTCTGTCCCTAGCTGATCTTGATAAAGTGGTAGTGAGCTGTCTTCTTGAACTGCCGCAATCCATGTGTGGTAGGTAGACACATCTTCATAGGAAGATGCTAAATAAAAACTGAAAGAACTGCAGATGTTGTAAACCTGGAACAAAAACAGAAGTTGCTAGAAAACCTCAGCAGGTCTGGCAGCATCTGTGAAGAAAAAATCAGAGTTAATATTTTGGGTCCGGTGACCCTTCCTCAGAACTGGTTATTTCTGATTTTTTCTTTACAGATGCTGCCAGACCTGCTGAGCTTTTCCAGCAACTTCTGTTTTTGTTCATAGGAAGATGGTTGTGGTTGTTGGAGGTCAGTCATCTCAGCTCCAGGACACCTCTACAGAAGTTTTTCAGGGTAGTGCCCTAGGCCCAACTATCTTCGGCAGCTTCATCAATGATCTCCCGTTCATTACAAGGTCAGAGTGGGGATGTTCAATGATGATTGCGCAATGTTCAGCACCATTTGCGATTCCTCAGATACTGAAGCAGTCCATGTTCAAATGCAACAAGACCTGGAAAATATCCGGGCGTGGGCTGGTAAACAGCAAGTAACATTCATGCCACACCAATGGCAGGCAATGACTAACTCCAATTAGAGACAGTTTAACCACTGTCCCTTGACATTCAATGGTGTTACCATCACCTAATTCCCCACTATCAACATCCTTGGGTTAATCTTGACCAGAAACTCAACTGGACTTGCCACATAAACACAGTGGCTACAAGAGCAGGTCAGAGGCTAGGAATACTGTGGTGAATAACTCACCTGCTGACTCCTCAAAGCCTGTCCATCATCTACATATCATTAGCCAGGAGTGTAATGGAATGTTCTGTGTTTGCAAGCAGGAGTGCAGCTCCGGCAATACTCAAGAAGCTTGACACCATCGAGGACAAAGCAGCCCACTTGATTGGCACCACATCCAAAAGAACCAGTCCCTCTACCAATGATGCTCATTACACACTGCTGCTACTATCTACAAGATGCACTACAGAAATCCATTAAAAACCCTTAGACAGCACCTTCCAAAACCACAACTGCTTCCATCTGGAAGGACAAGGGCAGCAGGTTTGTGGGAACACTACTACCTGCAAGTTCCCCTCCAAGCCACTCACCATCATAACTTGGAAATGTATCACATTACATTAGATTTTGTTTGTAGACAAAACAATTGGAGCAGATTAAAATAGCATCTCTCCCAATTCCAAGTCATTTGCGATATTATTGCCAGAAATAACTAAGGTGTAAAGAAAAGTTTCTACAGTTTAAAGACATCTGAATAGTCAATTAAATAAAGTTAAATAGTGAGAAAAAACAAAGATCTTTATATCATCTTATATCTCTTTGGATCTAGAGTCCCTGTGTCTTTGAGGTAATCTCATGTTCCCGCGATGATGAACCAAACAAGTTCTCTTTTCCAGCAGGATCCTGCAGATGGTGGAAATTTGAAATTATAAGAGAAAAGTTTGGAAATACTGAACATCCCCAGCATCATTGAGTTTTAAGTTAAAATTATGAAGCAAATTCATTCTACAACTACTGTATGGGTCAGGACTTGATGAGGCATGATTAATTTGTTTACCTGTAGCTGCTTTTAAATTCCATTAGATAGTAGGAACTGCAGATGCTGGAGAATCTGAGATAACAAGGTGTAGAGCTGGATAAACACAGCAGGCCAAGCAGCATCAGAGGAGCAGGAAAGCTGACATTTCGGGCCTAGACCCTTCTTCAGAAATGGGGAAGGGGAAGGGGGTTCTGATATAAATAGGGAGAGAGGGGGAGGCGGATAGAAGATGGATAGAGGAGAAGATAGGTGGAGAGGAAACAGACCGGTCAAAGAGGCGGGGATGAAGCCCATAAAGGTGAGTGTAGGTGGGGAGGTAAGGAGGAGATAGGTCAGTCCAGGGAGGATGGACAGGTCATAGGGGCGGGAATAGGTTAGTAGGTAGGAGATGGGGGTGGGGCTTGAGGTCGGAGGAGGGGATTGGTGGGAGGAAGGACAGGTTAGGGAGGCGGGGATGAGCTGGGCTGGTTTTGGGATGCGGTAGGGGGAGGGGAGATTTTGAAGCTTGTAAAGTCCGCATTGATACCATTGGGCTGCAGGGTTCCCAAGCGGAATATGAGTTGCTGTTCCTGCAACCTTCGGGTGGCATCGTTGTGGCACTGCAAGAGGCCCAGGATGGACATGTCGTCCAAGGAGTGGGAGGGGGAGTTGAAATGGTTCGCGACTGGGAGGTGCAGTTGTTCAGTGCGAACTCAAGATCTCCCCTCCCCCGACCGCATCCCAAAACCAGCCCAGCTCGTCCCCGCCTCCCTAACCTGTCCTTCCTCCCACCTCAAGCCCCACCCCCATCTCCTACCTACTAACCTCATCCCGCCCCCTTGACCTGTCCGTCCTCCCTGGACTGACCTATCTCCTCCCTACCTCCCCCCCACACTCACCTTTACGGGCTCCACCCTCGCCTCTTTGACCGGTCTGTCTCCTCTCCATCTATCTTCTCCTCTATCCATCTTCTATCCGCCTCCCCCTCTCTCCCTATTTATTTCAGATCCCCCTTCCCCTCCCCCATTTCTGAAGAAGGGTCTAGGCTTGAAACGTCAGCCTTCCTGCTCCTCTGATGCTGCTTGGCCTGCTGCGTTCATCCAGCTCTACACCTTGTTATCTCTTTAAATTCCACTATATTGCAACAAAATCTTATTGGAACAACCACGAAACAAATTCTCGACAAATGCAAATACTGCTTTTTTGGCTGCACATAAAATGCAATGCTTGAAACTTGCTTGAAAAAGACTTGAGATTCTGTAATGCAAAGTTTACATGTCTTCCCATTCGTTAACATGGTTTAATCTCAGCCTTCAGTAAAGGTGAGATTATTCATTGGTGGTGTTCTTTGTAATATAGTTTCCAAAATGTGTGATCATCTGGCTCACTGTACACCAATAGGTTACTGGAATTGATGAGCGGAGAGGTCGCAGAGTTCCATGGTTGCAGTCTTGTTTGTCCCTGCCACTTTGCCAGGGCTGCCATCCAGCCATTGCAGATTACTTCCGTTAATGTCAAGACAGTACAGTCTGTGGAGCAGACACAACAGGCTGAATGGCCTACTTCTTCTCCTACACCTTATGGTCTGAACCCAGGCTTTCTAAGTTCAGAGCTGCATCAAGTTATGCTCTGCAGCCATTTGCAGTCCCCAGCCACCCCACTGACATTCACCTGCCTTCCACTAGCCACACTGTAACCACTTGGCAAACATTGTGCAGGAACGCAGGAGACACATAGAAGACAGACACTGAGGGAATGCACAAGTGTGGTTGGTTGGCACTTGTAAATAATATGACATTGATGGAATTATGAGTTTGCTTTGGAATGTTCATTCTGTGTTGACTTTTACTTTTGCATTATGGCCAAGTGAACATTGTGATGGTCAGAGACAGAGGGAAGATAAGTTGTCGAGTGATGGTGTATAGGATATTGAAGTTACTGGTATCGCACTTCGGGAAATGATTTATGGACAGCATGGTCAGAAAGGGCTGTCGATGTTGCCACCTCTTGGCTTCAAGCTCCAGCTTCTCAGCTGCTTGCCACAGAGCTAGTGGCAAGGGTTGTCACCTCATGTTAGCAAAGTTGTTCACATGCAGTAAACCCTAACAAATCATAACACTCTCTTAGCCGAATATCGCAAACTGTTCCAGAATATTCCAGGGAGAAGAGGCATTGTTTCTGCACACCGATTGTACTTTGTAAAGTAGTGTGTCTTTCATTCTGTGCATGCTGCTCATGTTTTATAGGTTATATATTAGAATTACTAGCCATGTTACCGAAGTATATTCCAAGGAAGTCTTTGGACTTTAACTCTGTTTCTCTTTCCACA